GATGCGTTCAGGGCGAGATGCGTTCAGGGCGAGATGCGGTGGGATGTGCTTGGAGAGCATCATGAGTTGTTGTTGATCAAAGTGCAGCTCAAGCCGACGTGTCGAACAGCTTTTCTATCATCTCCTCCACTTCCTCCGGCCGATACTTGTGGTACTTCTCAGGGTTCTTGGTGAAAGAGATGTTGGCATATCTAGAAAAAAGAAAAGTGGTTCAGTGTGACGGGAGTCAGACCGTGAGCGAGTCCGTTTGCATAGAAGGTGAAGTGCCGCATAACGGTAAATAAAATTCTATGATTTCTGTGCAGGATTTCTTTGTAATTCTTAAACATTATAAGAATGAAATCTACCACATGAAACAAGTGGAGACAAGACATAGTATGTCATGAAAAGTCATAGAATAGTATATTATAATGATGTCGTACTATACTATGACCTTTTATGACATTTATTATAACTTTTTGCCATTATTTTAGTATTTTATTGTAATGAACATGTCTTCACTTTAACATATGACTTCTTTTTTTTATGACAGCACCAAACATGAGCTACACCAGCTGTTTGGAGGTATGTCACTCTTCCTACGAACACACAGGATGATGATGTCGGCCTCACCTGTGCAGGAAAGCCCTGTAGGCCTCAGACACCACCCTCTTCTGAGCCTGACGGATGAAGTCTCGCTGCTCTTTGTCGGGGATCGCCCAACCCTTCTGGATCTTACACAACTCCTCCAGCCCGTCGTTAAAACCCTGAGAAAAACACGTCACACCGTTTGTTCTTTCACGTTCGTGCGACCACAGAGTGCATCTTTACAGCGTCGTTGGTTTGTTGAAAAGATATTTCACAGTGAAGTGATTCTTCCCTCACCTTGAACTTGTCTTTTATCACCTGCCGCTCTTTATCTTTCAGCTGGAGGAAGGAAAGACTTCAGTTATAAAATGTACACAAAGACACACTCATGACTCATAGTCAACACTTTCTATGGATTTTATACAAGATATACGTATTTATAAGACCTTCAGAGAACAGTTGTGATGTTTTGAGCTGTGGTGGTATGAGGTGCTGACTGGGAACTGAAGCCGTTCTCATGCTCGCTTCAAAGCCAGACTCCACTGACAGAAACAATGTTACCTTTCAGGACCCGGGAGTCGCTGGTCTACTGCTGCCCCGGTCTGTTAGTCTGTATAGCACAAACAAACTAACTACTGATGGAAGCAGCGGTAGATCAGCGACTCCTGTGCTGTGCAAGGTAACACAGTTACTGCTTTTGTCAATGGAGTCTGGTGGCTTTAAGAGAATATGTTTTGCAGCTGCCCCCGTGTACAGCCGTACGTTACGTCGGTTTCTCCAAACTCCATCTACTGTAGTGAAACACTGACTATGGAGAAGAACCTCATACAACCACACTTCATCTAAACTATCCCTTTAAGATGTACCTGAACTTTAACGTTTCTAAATGTAGCAGGTCAGTATGACAGATGATAAAGTTCTGACCTTGGTGCCGGGTTGGAAGACGGGCACGTTCCTGTTGGTCAGGTGCTCCGTGACTCTCACCCAGCTGTGAGGGAATCAAACACACAAGCTCAACGTGAGCGCCGAACAACACGCATAAATAAAGTTCATTTTTACTGTGTTCACCTGTTCTGGTACATCTGGATCTGCTGCTCGATCAGCTCCCTGTAGGAATTCTCAGCTTTCTTCTGAGTCACTGTCACCAGCTGGATCAACTCAGACCTGAAGACATATATAACGTACAGATTCACTCTGAGGACTAAACACATTCACTCTGAGGACTAAAGAGTGTAGTCCTCAGAGTGAATCTGTACATTATAAAT